GCAACTATATACTGTATATTTGATGCTTTCTCCATCATTATTATGTGGGGAGGGAGCAGAAAGAATAATCTGAACTTATGTGCCTGACAGGAATATATAGTTTAGAAGGCAATTTAGAAATGGGCCTGGCTGTCTCTATGTGCCTTGCTTTTGCTGTTGCTATTATCCATTAATTATACTTCAACCTTGTCCCCATTTTATGGTATGTCATTGTGTTTTGCCTACTTTAACATATAGTTAAGCATCGTATTTGATTTGTTCAGGGAGTGGGTTTGTGTGTATTTCTGTTCATTTATTAGAACCTAAGACCTATTTGTAAAAGCAAGCATTCCCTTTCTACTTCTATACTTGCATGATTTTTTATGATAGTTGGTCTGGATTTATGGAAATGTAATTATTATATATAATTTCATTTTATTAATGCTTTGAGTGATATACCTTGTACTTGCTTGATGACATTTATTGCTATTCCTCCCATGAGGAGTCTTGCCAGAATACATAAATTTGGAAGTAACAAATAAATAAACCTACATTTACAAAAGGCAATGAACCCAAAAGTAAAATAAAATATAATGTTTGTCAAAATTGAGTCTCAATACATGAGCACACATACCAGATATAGTATTATGACCATTTTTATCCAACAATTAGTGGGAGTTTCCGGAAGTGGTTAATGGATTGTGATAGGAATCCTTATCTCTCCCCATGTGCATCTTGTTCCTTTTTTTTGTTTGTCAATTTTAAATAATTTAATGTCACTATTTATTGTTTTTATGTTTTATTGATTTTTAATTATTGTAAATCACTTAGAATCACCACCAGGTCAGATGGGCAGCATGTTGAATGAATGAATGAATAAAATCAGTTGCATTATACTAACCAATTTCAACCTTGATTGGCTTGTTTTGAAATCAACCAAAGTTTGATATCTACTGTGGCTAAAAGTTATGAAGTCACATTAGAAATTACATCGTAAGCAGCCTTATTTAGAGTAAGTCCATTGAAATAAAGGGAATGTACTTGTAAAAACTTGGTATTATTTTTCTTTGAGAAGCCTGAAAATGTTCTTTCAGGCAATTGTGAAGGATGGGCACCAATTTTTCAAGGATTCAGACAAATTGCGTTCAGACAACGCAGAAGGAAAACCTCAGGATGATCAAAGGACTAGAACCAAAAGCTTGTGAATAGGAATGCAAATGAATATTTTACAATAAGAATAAAATGCTGAGGGATTAAGTAATGGTTGTTTAATATGTGAAAGGATGGCACATAAAAGGTCAAGCTATTTTTTGTACCATTCCAGATCCCAGAACATGGAATACTAGATTTCAATTCCAGGAAGATAGATTTCATTTGAAAAATAGGAAAAAGAGCCAATCAGTCAGAACAAATTGATTACACAACTAATCAATCAGTGAGATGATGGACTTGTCTTTTCCTTGGATATATTCAAGTGAAGTCAGATAGCTATCTGTCCAGAGATGTATTGCTTTGTATTTCTTCACTGAATAAAGGCAACTTAAATAGCAACTTTAGGATGTATAGACTTCAACCGCATAAATCCTCATCCAACTCTGGGAGTTAAAGACCACCCATTGGTCTTTATGGACCATAAAGTTGCCAAGACTGAGAAGCATTGGTCTAAATACTGTTTCAACTCAGGTTTTACTGATTGTTATAGGTCTGTTCTAATTATGACTAAGCCTGGATCCAGTCCAATAAATATCTAAGATTTTGGATGAGATGAATGAATTTTTAAAAGGGGAGCCTACCACACACAAAACGTGTCTTTGTTGAGAAGAAATATGCAAGAAGAATAGCATCTAACAAATGGAACATTCACAATTTTGATGCCAGTAACACTAATTGAAAAGTTAACAAAGCCACATTGTAAATACATGCACATTAATAGTGAATGTCATCTTTCTTGCTGCAACTGGCAAAAATAGTTCCTGTTAATGGTTAAAAGCCACTCCCTCACTTATGTTTTTAATCTTTTTCATCTTGCATTCTATATTCCAGATTTCTTCTGTCTCCTGTACAATTCATATTATAACATGCATGCTGAGAATAGGAGAGGAAGCAAGAATGTTTCTATCTAGAGCAGGCTGTATTATGTTTCTTTTCTTTTTCTTTTGCAGAGTTACTGCCTGGGTACAAGACCCTTGCAGTCAGTGAAGATACCTGCATTGACGTCACAGGCTCTGGTTGAAGCCCTCAGGCATCAATGCAATAAGTATCTTAATGAAATCACAGACAACTCTTGTATCTTTATCACTATGAAATCAATTGTCTGTTTTAAATATTTCAACACCAAATTGTCAAAAATGCTCAGAAGCATTTCCCTATGAGGATCTGCTAATGTGAGGAAACACTGATGTACTTTCTTATTTCCATACACCTTTTCCCTGGTTTACTAGCTTAATGACATGTTTACATCCTGCTTTTTGTTTCTTTGATACATGCCAAATATTTGTTTGCTTGTATGTTTATTTCAGTTGTTTGTACACTTCCCAATCACTGAACTCTGGGTGGCGTATAGCATAAATCAAGATAATATAAAACATTCAACCACAAACTAAACAATTCCCGAAAACATCAGAACGAGTCATCATTACAAAATAATTTTGATGGCCTTGCGAAAGGCTAACAACAAGGGAACAACAAACATCTCTGGAAGCAAAGTATTTCAAAGCAGTGAGGTTACTATGGAGAAAGCCTTATTCTTGATTCTGTTTCCTTCAGTTAGAATCTTCCCCAGATTCACGACACTCAGGTCTCAAACCTATGCTCTTGACTTTCTAGCTGGTAAGTCCAGTGTCTTAACCATTGAACCATCATGCCTGTGCTACCTTAAATAGAAGGGGTAAAATACAAATGTATTATAACATCTGCAAAAAGATTGGAAGCCACTTTCTTAAAATCTTTAATTTCTTTTTTTCTTATATTTTCTATATTATGTATTCACTATTCTTTCTTATTTTCTTTGTTTCTGTTCTTTTATATTGCTTTCATCTTGTTTAAAATTTGTTCAATAAAATTATATTAATAAATTAAGCCAATATCCCATTGATTTTTTTGTCAGAAGTCAGGTGTAAAGATGAAAATTGTGATTACATGACTATGGATGATGCAAGCATCATAATTGTGCATCACTGTTAAGCACCCAAATTGCAATCATTTGACCTTTGGGATGCTGCAACCAGTGCAATTTAGAAGATCAGCCATAAGTCTCCTTGTTCAATGCCATTATATGGTCATGGCATAAGTGATTGCCAAGCAAGGATGATCTGTATACAGTTGGGTTGACACTTCTTTCAGTGATGATGATAACTTATCCTTTTTCAACAAGACATTTGCTTTTTGAACCTTACCCACTTCTTTAGGCTCCAGAATGTCAAAAGAAATCCTGCATCATGTTATAAACACATCTTGCCATACTTTATTTCAGTCTGCTCAATTGGTATCAAGATCTGAGTAATGGTTAGCAAAATTATCTTCAAAGAAACGTATTGCAGTTGCCTGCAGAGATATTGTCCTGCCCTTTGTTCCACAACAGAATATGGGTAACCCTAAACATGCTAGCTAGATAAGAATCAACAAAGGCAATAAGAGTGGAGAAGTAGACATGCTTCATTGCTCTTTTTGCTACAGACTGGACCAGCATATACACACATAGAATATTTAATCATAACTGGTCATCAGTGTCACACTAAATGTCTCTTTGCTTACTTCATTTCACAACAATCTCCGAAACTTTGTTATTTCCTGTTACTATATGCCCACCAAGTGCAAAATAATAATTTTACCAGGACTTCTCTAGTTTCCCACTTCAAGATCCAGGAGGCACTTGGACAAGCAATTTAATAGGTCCTTAGTTCTCACAGTGGTCCAAAGAGCTAATAATCCACAACTTGCACAGAAAGTTGTGTTGCCATGGTAACAGATGGTATTAACCATACAATATGGATCAGATGAAAAAATAGACTCCAGAGAAGACTAAAATTACTCTTAATATGATGGACTATTGTAACAGAATTTTGCAAACCTGATTGTATTTTACTTACCACCATGGACACTCCTAAGAGGCTAAGGAGATATCGGAGTCATTTCCTCCCTGCCTTCTATTGTTTTGGACTTGAGTTGCACTCTGGTAATGAATCTGGTTTATGTCTGTCAATATCATTTACAATACAATACAATAGCAGAGTTGGAAGTGACCTTGGAGGTCTTCTAGTCGAATCCCCTGCCTAGGCAGGAAACCCTATACCGTTTCAGACAAATGGCTATCTAACATCTTCTTAAAGACTTCCAGTGTTGGGGCATTCACAACTTCTGGAGACAAGCTGTTCCACTGATTAATTGTTCTAACTGTCCGGAAATTTCTCCTCAGTTC